CACTATAGATGGAGCCAAGATTCTCCTGATCGAACTGATACTTCATCCAAGCGTAGCTTTATCAGTTTCCTACCAGTTATTGACAAGTGTGGAGTATCAGTAAAGCTTCAACAGGTGATATCTATAAACTTATATGGGATTCAGTAGTGCATTTAAGTAGGTATGTATTAACATTTGGCAGCCAGTCAAGTTGTTATTAATCCATTTTTGGCTTTTCAGATTAGATCACCAGTTGCCTCTTTCCCCTCAACAAGACTTGCTGTGCGGGTACCCTCCATGGGGTTTCATTTTTCTCCATCTCGTTATCATCGTTTAATGCAAATAGCTAAGATTTTTCAAGGGAAGCAAGAGGACCATCCTGATCTTGTCTGTCCCTGGGATGAAGCTGATTTTGCAGGCTGGCTGTATCAGCTTACACGGAAGGTTGTATGTTTATGCTCTTTTGTTTGCGAGTTACCTAATAGAAGGATGATAATTTTGTGATTTTCTGCCTTTCCTCATGATATATTTCATTTCATGTTTGTTGTTCAGGGTGTAGGAGGTAGAGAAGCTGTATGGCAGCAGAGATATTTTTGTATAGTTGGACCTTTTCTGTATGTCCTAGAAAATCCAGAGTCGAGAAATTATAAACAATACTTCAGGTTTGGACATGACTGCTTGAAACTCTCTTATCTGATTTACTGGAGTCTAAGTGGTATTTGGGTTTTTGTACTACCGTAATAGGATTTACTCAATATCATACCTCGTGTTGCTGTATATGTTCTGAAGTATCAGAGTCATAAAGATGTTTGTTTGTATGATGTGTGGATGCAAAAAGTTTAAACATGCAAGGGATATAGTGATTACTATTTTTTGGGAAATGTTTAAAAACTGGTATGATGTGAGTAGGCCTATGCCAGAAAGTCTGAGAAATGCGAACTAATTGGATAGTGTTACCAAATTAAAAGCCTTCAAAATGTCTATAAACTGTTCAAATACTGGGAACAATAAAGGTTTATGTTTTTTTCAATGTCAGGTACCTACTAAACATAAGGGCAATGTTTGGATTCGTTTTGGGAGTTATTTTCATTTTATTTTGAGGAAATATGTTTTGAGGGAATAATTTGATAATGAAACTAATGTTTGTTTATAATTTGCTATGAGACAAAATACAATGTAGCGGTCAAATCATGTTTAAAGGTGTTAGGGAAAATGTATTGTAAAAGAAGAATTTGAAAAGTAAAGTGATGTTTTTTTTTAGTGAAGACAATTTTTACTGTAGCAGTCAGATTTTTTATAGCAGTCAAATCATATCTGAAGGAGATATAAACTTTAGAAGTTGTTTTGACATTTTTTTTGGAAACCTTAACAAACACGAATTGTTTTGGGGAAAGAATTAAAGTTGAATGAAAACGGAACCAAACATTGCGCAAGGCTTTTCTAGGCCAATGATTTCCTAGTATCTTTACATCGTTGTCTACATTTATGTTGACCTTTATGATGGTGACATTGCCCTGTGATATTTTTGGTTCTAGTCTACGAGGTAAGCATTTATATCAAGTTCCTGCTGATTGTCTTGGAAATGAGGAACACGTGTTGGCTGTTTGTGATGGTGAGCGCTCCGCCGTCAAGGTAGTCATCAGGAATAATAATCTGATATCTCATTTTCATTTTAGTGGAGCTTCTTGGTTTGTGGTGCAGTTTGCTTCACATATCTCTTACCTTTTTAGGTGGTGGAAGATCCAAATGCTCTGATTTTGCGTTGCGACTCCGAAAATTCAAGGACAACTTGGCAAACCAACCTCCAAGGAGCCATTTATCGTGCCTCGGTATTCTGTCACATTTTATCTTAAACATAAAACTGTTTGTGTCATGGTTTGCAATTGAAGTCGTTTCTTATTGGAAGAATCCTTGAATTTATATGCAGGGAACTACTCCTATAGCTGGTCTGATTGAAAACTTGTCAGATTCAGAAGACTCTGAAATTGACAATCGTGATTCTACAGATTCATCAACGACAGAGAAATTGTTTTTGACTGGTGTACTGGATGAGTTGAAGATAAGTTTCAGTTACAGTAACCTGGTAAGTAATCTTTTCAGACCTACTGTTATGTGGAGTATATAACTGCTAAACCATTGAACATGCACATACTTCTTTTAGCATGATCAGAGTTTTATGAAGATGCTTCTTGCGGAAGAAAAACGTTTGCTTGAGTTTCGAGCAATTGGTGGACAGGTTAGAAATTGTCAAATATACAGTATGTAGCATTTTAAGTGTTGAAGCATTCTTGTTAATCATTTGAATCATTCTGATGCAGGTTGAACTGTCAATTCGATCGGATGATATTTTCATTGGCACAGTCCTTAGAGCTTTGGAGATAGAAGATTTGGTTTGCTGCAAGGTGAAATCTCAGACACGTTACATAGCAAGATCATTCATCAGGAATTCAGATGCACCTTCAATATTACACAGTTCTGATAGTCTAACTCAAGCCAGTAATAACCTTACCCAATATGAAGGAGATGATGAGTTTTATGAGGTGTCTGAGAATCTTAATGAGTCAGTTGGTGGCCCCGAGTCACTAGGTGATGAAATGGAGTATATGAGTTCTCAAATTACCACCGATTCAGGTAGCTTGGAGTTGAAGGCCCCAAGTTTTTTGCGTGTTGCTGGTATACTGCCTTCTGACGTTACTCCTCTGGAATCTGGTCAGATAGGAGTTACTGATGCATTGGACAGTTTTGTGAAAGCTCAAATAATTATTTTCGACCAGAACTCACCACTTTATTCCAATGTTGATAAACATGTAAGTTGGTATCAACTGTACTCAATTATACTATGGATTAGTCAATTGGCCCTTTTAATTTGTGTCATAATTTTGCTAGGTCAACTATTCCTTTTGTAAAATATACATAACGATTACACGCTAATACATTTGACATTAAAGCTTGACACATATATTGATATGTCACTTTTTTATTTCAGGTCGCAGTCACACTCTCTACCTTATCCTTTTACTGTCGTAGGCCTAGTATACTAGCCATTATGGAATTTGTAAATGCTATCAACATCCAGGAGGAAAACTCTGAACCTTCTAGTGATACTTCGTCAATTGTTGCATCGCATGGTACATCGAAGGAAATCATGAACGACGGTCCGCCCTCAGCTCCAGTGGAAGAGCCTATAGTAAAATCTTTGCTTGGAAAAGGGAAATCCAGAGTGATTTTTCATTTGCTGTTGAATATGGCTCGCGCTGAGATATTTTTGATGAAGGAAAATGACTCTAAACTTGCTACGTTGGCACAAGATAATTTTGTTACGGATATTAAGGTGCACAAGCCATCCATTTTATTTTCTGAGGGAAAAATTATCATATCATCCTTGGATTGATCTGAAATTATTTTCTCCATGTGACAGGTCTTCCCGTCATCTTTTAGTGTAAAAGCCTCCCTTGGGAACCTTAGAATAAGTGATGACAGTCTTCATAGCAGTCATATGTATTTCTGGGCCTGTGATATGAGGAATCCTGGTGGGAATTCATTTGTGGAGGTGTCTACTTCTACTTAATCTTGAATTTGGTAGCTATATATTTACAGTTTTACTCTTTTAGTTTCTCCAGCTTAATCGACTCTCTAGAGTCACTGATTAGCAACCATATAATAGAAATGGGTTTCAACTTTTACGTGTTTTGTGTTACTTGTGGTTGCAGTTGTTTCTCTCTTGCTCAGTCTATCTGCATCTTGTCCTGTCTTTGCTAACATGTCTTTGCTTACAGTACATTATGGGTTTAAGTTTAGTAATACCGCATACACATTTTCAACGAAAAACAGTCCGTCCCTCATAATATCACCGTTTTCAACAAAATAAATTCTTATTGGTTGTATTTGTCCCAAATTGCAAATTTGTAAGACTATTGCAATGCTTATATGTGGAACGGGCATTCTCTCTCCTTGAGCAAGCTTTTGGAAATGAGTTATACCCATTGCCCATTTAACATGGTATCTATCATAGTGGGTTTGTAGGTGATGGTGGGTTTGTAAATTCTGGGCCCATTGCATGACACGCTATGCGTGGGGCGGGTGTTATTTGTTGTATTTGTCCCACGTCGCAATTGAGAATCTTCCAATGTTTATATGTGGAATGGTCCCCCTCGCCACTTGAGCTAGTTTTTAGAGATGAGTTCTACCCAAATCCATTAATACATTTCATGTTTTGAAATGATCCGGGGCATGAACAAAATGGTCCGTTTCATAATTTATAAAATGGTTGATGTTTTTTGATACTTAACTTGCAAGGCATGCATACATAATTCATATTTCAAAATTACATTCTCTCTCTCTCTCTCTCTCTCTCTCTATATATATATATATATATATATATATATATATATATATATATATATATATATATATATATATACATACATACATACAGTTCTACATATGTACACATACACACACATACATATCTATGAACATATCTATTAAACCTCTGAATTTGCATATTTATTCTGTTACTTTTGTCTTGACTTTAGAGTGTTGAGGTATTTCCTTCTGTATCTGATATAGTTGCAAATTTTTTGTGTTGAATGTGCAGTTGGTATTTTGTTCATTCAATGCTGATGATGAAGACTATAAAGGATACGAGTACAGCCTCGTTGGCCAACTATCTGAAGTTCGAGTTGTCTATTTGAATCGCTTTCTTCAAGAGGTCATTTAAATTTTTTTCGTTGTCATCCTTTTGATTGTGAACTTGTATTCACTGTTACAAATTAAAATAATTTCAGGTTGTCGGCTACTTTATGGGTCTTGTTCCTAGCAATTCCAAAGATGTTATCCAAATAAGAGATCAGATGACAAACTCGGGGAAGTGGCTTACAAGAAGTGAAATTGAAGGATCGCCCGCATTTCAGTTGGATCTTTCACTTAAGAAGCCAATCATATTAATGCCTCAGAGAACAAATAGCTTGGAGTGAGTTTAAAATTTTCCTTTAATGCATAATGATTTCTGCTCAGATGATTACCTACTGTCAAACAATTTAAGGGATCACAGAGTTGTGATGTGTATAAAATCTTGCCTTTGGTTGCAGTTACTTGAAACTTGATGTTGTTCAAATTACTGTTCGGAACACCTTTAGATGGGCTGGTGGGAGCAAAAGTGAAATCAAGGCAGTGCATGTGGACATTTTGGAAATTCTTGTAAGATTCTTTCCACCTTCATGCTTGTTACTTACTGGTGAGAGTACAATAGATGAATTGAATGTGGTTGGATCCCCAAAATTTATGTTTCTTTACTGATTCTCTTTTGTTTGGAAGTTTAGTTCATCATTTCTTCTTATGGATTATTCTCGTTTCTTTGCATCCATGGAATATTGTTGTATTATTTATAGCTATTTCTATATTTCCCTGCGTATTTATTCCGATTTTGAGCAAAGCATGATAAGGAATGCATAGACCAATCGTTGAGGTTGATACACACATACATATAAATGCAGTATGCTCTTCTGTTCCTTTCATAGCCATCATATGTCATTGTCATAGTTAGCAAGCAGTATCATTGATATTTGCAAAATGTAGTGCATGAGTTCTAGCCCTTCTATCCCAGTATGTGAAAAATAACAATAGTGTCCAACTATTTTAGCTTGTCTAACAAGAAAAAGTAGTACAGTCAAGTCGAGCTAGGAGAAATGCCATTTCCATACTTTTCCCGGACATTTGTTTTTGCTACGCCGAGTCTTTAGATCTAAAAAAATTGAAACTTTGCTCTGAGAAACGCATTTGTTATCATGTCCGCAAACAAGAGCTCTGAGCTATGATGAACCAAATTTGTTTTCCTCATTCTTCCCTTCTTCCCTGGTAGTATGATGATACTTAATATTAATGTGCTTGGTCCTGACATGTTGGATAGTATTCACAGTAATATCTATGGCAGACGTGTTGTCTATCCTTTCACGTCCTTCGAACTTTTCCCTTGACTTGTCACAAGCTTGGTTTGCTATTTTCCAATTCATGAATTCTGACGCAAAGGAGTGAATTGGTCATAGAACATTTAAACTTTTGGCACCCTTGTTTATGGTGTTGATGAGTTAAATTGGTAGCTTGGTTTTTTTTCCTAAAGGAATTTGGATCAATGACATCCCCCACTAAATCCCGCAAGTAAAAGGTTTTTAGATATGCTCTCTTTTTCGTTGCCCAAATGGGGTAGTGTTATCGATTAAAAACAGCTTTTGCTGGAGTCAGAAAACTTTTGACGCCATTAAACTATTTTTAGGTTTGAAGTTGATTGTATGATTCAAAAGAGAAAAAGTCCAGCTGTTTCTGTTTCTTTTTAAGTTCATATTTATAACACTCATTAAATTCATTCTTTTTATTCTATTTGTTTTCAAGGCATCAAGATAAGAAAACGGAAGTCTTTATATATATATATATATATATATATATATATATATATATATATATATATATATATATATGATTGGGATTAATAGCACAAAAGAACATTGTACATTTATAAGCATTGCTCCAGTATCCCTCTTATATTGACCATTATGCATTGTCATAGTTTACAAAATAAAATAATTCGTATCTCACAATATTTTTGTGTATCTATCTTGGTTCATCTACTCCAGTCGGTCTAACAAATAGAAACAATCATTCAACTACTCCAGTTGATTTTATCAAAGAAATGTCAGAAAAAATAAGATGAGACAGAGAATAATTATATGAGCCCACTCCTGCAGAGATGAGAAAAGACTACTACTAGCAACATAACAATTCTTCGAAACATAGACAAAAAAACTCCTAACCTATGATAGACACTACTAAACAGACACAGATTCCTACCTTGATATAGACTCCTAAATATCTTCTAACACACTCAAGTTGGAATAGCTCGTCACACAGAAAAAGAGTGCAAAATAAAATATTCTCTTAACACTTTTCTTAAGCTGGATTATAGCTGTGTGAGGCTAGCAGCAGACACGGTAGTTGTGTGACAGGCGGTAGCGTATTCACAGGAGCAATGGCGAGCGACGGGTGGTGCACGCAACGACGAAAGGCAGCGGCAGTCTGCAAAGGTTGGGTGAATAGATGACTTGAGGTAGTACCTCTGGTCGAGCAGCGATAGGAGTACTCGTAGCGATGCTGTGTGCTCGCTGACGAGGGAACGTGACTAAACAGACCTGACTAAACAGACACAAATTCGTAACCTAATATAGACTCCTGAATATCTTCTAACAAGAAATATAGACATGTCTAGCTAAGAGTAACATGATTTTTCACAGATTTTCTCTACTCTGTAATTATTTGTTGGATAAATTTCATTATAAAATCTGCATGCCTTCTTCAGGTTGAAGATATCAACTAAAGTGTATCTGCATGCCATTTTCAGGTCGATGATATCAACTTAAATGTAGGTTCAGGATCAGAACTGGGTGAAAGCATAATTCAAGACGTCAAGGGTGTTTCCTTTGTCATTCAGAGATCACTTCGTGACTTGTTGCATCAAATACCAAGTATAGAAGTTTCTATTAAGGTATTGTACTCCAAACATAAAATCTGATAACTTCGAGATTGTGTTTGTTGAGCTTCTTCTTATATATTCTCTTTCACTCTCAAGATCCACGTTTTGCAAGAGTGACGGTGTTCATATAATTGCCTTAATCTTTCTGATATGTGGCTTTTGATAAGAGCTTCTCCTATTGATTTTTAATAGATACTTGCATTTTCATATCTGTTTGTTGCATTTATGACTTGCATTTTTCTTTAAATTTCAGATTGAAGAACTGAAAGCAGTTTTAACCAATAAAGAGTATGAAATAATCATGGAATGTGCACAATCTAATATTTCAGAGACCCCAAATTTTGTGCCTCCACTGAAAGATGAATCTCTGTCCCCTTCGATTGATATGGCCAGACCAACTGATATTCAAGGTTTAGTTTCTGCTACATCAGAAACTCAGGCAACGGACAAATGGGTTGTGACTAAGATTTCTGTCCACATTGATATGATTGAACTGTGTCTTCATTATGGCATTACAAGGGATGCATCTCTTGCCACTCTACAGGTAGTAAACCGACTGCCCTGAAGATTCTTATTTTATGTAGTCATGACAACTGAGTAGTTATATGGTGTAACTATGAACACGAGTCACATTCTTGAAACACGTCCATAAATCTGTTTGTGCTATAATTATGCATGCAACTGGATCCTGTATTTTGCATTGAGGATGACTATAATCATCAGTAGGGAATACTTAGTCGTCTATTTTGTGTTATAAAGTTCTCATGGATCGTAGCCAAAGAAACCAGGAAAGAGAAAGAAGTTGGGGACTTGTTCACCGGGCCTTTTGAGTTCCCCGTCAGTGATCTGCTTTTGTTATGCTTTGCTTTGTAGGTGTATGAATTGGCAATTCCAGTCTGAAGTAGTGGTTGCAACACAGATAACGTCTTAGGTGATATATAGTGATCTGATAATTTTAAATAGAACTGAGATGTCATTTGCTAATGTAAATTGCTGATCATGAACTTCAGGAGGCCTTGCACTGTTTTTGTCTTGGTGCTATCAAGATATATTGAAATACAAACAGCAGCCATAGAGAACCATTGTCGCGTGTGTCTTGTGTTGGTTGGTAATTGTGTTAAAATAATACCAACTACAACATGTGTTCCTAGATCTTTATTGTTATTGAAGTTGGCCAGACGTGTTATACTACCACAGAATTGAAAGATAGTTTTACGTTTTCTTTTGAATCCGATAATAGTAGCGAAAATGTACTCACCCTTCATTAGTTTTGAGATGCATTTTTATTGTTTAAGATAGAATATTACTTGATCCTTGCTTCATTTGTACTACTTGTGTTTGGTCTAGTTTACTTACCTTGTATTTACTGTTTTTATTTTTTCGGTTCTGTAGTGTAATTGGTATTTATGTTTCAGGTGAGTGGAGTCTGGCTCTCGTACAAATCTAACACAGTCGGGGAGGGTTTTCTTTCTGCTACACTGAAGGATTTGATTGTTGTTGATGATCGTGAAGGTACAGAAAAGGAGCTCAGGTTGGCTATTGGGAAGCCTGATATGGATGGGTACAATCTTTCAGAATCTGTCCCTCAAAATATGGATTATAATAGTGTTGAGAGAAATCCTTTGTTGGACAGTGCGGGAAAGTACACCCCCGCAATTCTAATTCTTGATGCCCAATTCTATGCAAATTCAACGTTTATCTCTTTGTGCATTCAGAGGCCGCAATTGCTTGTCGCACTTGATTTTTTGCTTGCAATTGCTGAGTTTTTTGTCCCAACAGTTCGTGGTGAAGGGTTAAATGATGAGAATGCCGACTCTTCACATTTTCTGGATGCGTACATACTTGACCAACCCATTTTCTATCAACCCTCGGCCGAATTCTCAATTTCGCCTCAAAAACCTTTGGTTGCTGATGATGAACAGTTTGACATCTTTATATATGACGGAAGAGGTGGAACTTTGTATCTTAAAGACAGACAGGGAGTAAATATCTCACGTCCAAGTACCGATGCTTTAGTTTATGTCGGGAATGGAAAGAAACTGCAATTCAGAAATGTGACAATCAGTGTAATTCCTCCGATATCTTATCAAACTCTTCCTTTTCGTCTGAATATCTAAAATAACAGTTCAACTGCATCTGATATTTCTCGTCTATCATTGTTACAGAGTGGACCGTACTTGGATTCATGCATTTTACTTGGAGCAAACAGTAGCTATTCAGCAAATGAGAACGATAATGTCTTTTTAGAGGGAGAAAGTGGAGGCTCTTCTGATCACTCTTCAGGAAGAAATACTAGTAGTGTGGCATCTGAAACTGCTGTTTCTAGCAGATCCAAAGAATTGATATTTGAATTGCAGGTAGGGCACCTTGATTAAGATTCATTAAGTTTGACGTTTGCTGAGAGTTCTTGGTTGGGTCATGTTTTAGTTTTATTCTTCTGTCTTGAGTTTCCCATAATTACGTAAGGGGACTGAGAGCACTCATTCAACTCGTATTCAAGGAGTAGTTATTCACAGAGGCAACTTTTTTTTTTGGGCAAAAAAGAAATATACTTATCTTGATAGGGCATGATCTGTGGAGTCGGTATTGAATAATATTATGTTTAGAAATTTGAGAAAAAAGAACTGTGGTGTTCCAACTGTTCAAAGTCGAACTAGACTAGCATTATAAGTTTTAGAAAATAACTAAGAGTAGGGAAATCTCAGAGTAGGATATTGGTGGAAAGTAGATGAGCAGGATTTCCAACTAGCATAACTGAAACTTGTGACGTCACTGATTCATGCAAAAATTATGAAGACAATAAGCTTTGAAGGTCATATCAAATTGGAGTTTAGTTCCTATAGGTTTGACCAGAAAATGTAAAATAGGAGAATGGATAGATCTTGCTAAAGCGAGATAAAGAATAAATTTATTCACAATTTCTAAGGACTGGTTATTCACTGCTTTTATTTGTTATGTTCAACTATGTTGTTGCTTCCTTATTTCTTTATATGATTTCATATTTTATTTCAAATTGATGGTTTATAGTGATATATATTCGAATAAATTTATATGAAATTATATGAAAAACGATTGTGGTTTATTTAAGTAGAAACAAAGGGGTATCAACTGATGCCACATAAATTTAATGGTTTGTCAATTTTCTTTTGAGACATTGAACCATCTTGGAACGTATAGGCCTCTATACACTAAATAATCTGTCACATTCTGCAATAGTTCTATTTGATGAACTTAAGGATGACAACGAATCACAGGAACATAAATTGCATGTTTACAGATTTATGTGGCAAAATCATGCATATCTCTCTGATGTTTTTTACTTATATCTTTGTTGCTCATATGTTATTCACAGGCTATCGGTCCTGAGCTCACCTTCTACAATAAATCAAGAAATGCAGGACAAGTCATCCTCTCCAACAAACTTCTGCATGCCCAGATGGATGCATTCTGCAGGTGAACTTCCCACCTGTGTTTTGCCTAAATTTACGGGGTTCGAAGTTACATATTCTGCATTGAACTTGTATATTTCTTGTGATAACACACCCCCTGAACTATGGTAATTGGCATTCTGCAATAAAATGGTGAACGATTTGGACTCCACCCATTTTCATTGAGATTTCTGTTGACGAATTGGTGCATTTCTTCATAATAAACTATCTTCTATTGTATTTCCCCTCAATTGGCTTGATTAATCCTCCCTGTTTTGACGGAAACCAATGTGATGACTTTAAAATATTGTTGCCTCTGCTCTGGAGATGGTGTAAAGACCCATGCTTGTCTATGGATTGGGCAGGTCCATTGTGTGAATTGTCTGTGATTAAACCTATATGCATACAGTAGCTCCAGTCCTTTTTCATGAATGACTAGCATTATATGTATATGTACTATATATAATTATAGTATTTCGTGCTCTCGTCGCAATGGTATTGCGTATGATTCTGCACTGTGTATGTACTCTGATCTAAAGCATCATTTTTCTCATATAACTATAAATATATTGCAATTATTGAACAGCGTTAGTAAATGAAATGGTATTTGATGTTTTCTGCAGGCTTGTTTTAAATGGAAATACTGTTGAAATGAGTGCAGACGTTCTTGGTTTGACCATGGAGAGCAACGGAATCAAAATTTTGGAGCCTTTTGATGCATCTATAAAATTCTTTAATGCTTCTGGAAAGACAAGCATGCAGTTCACTGTCTCAGATATATTCATGAATTTTTCGTTCAGCATATTGAGACTATTTTTGGCCGTTGAGGAAGATATTTTATCATTTTTAAGGACATCATCAAAAAAATCAACTATTTTATGCTCTGAGTTTGACAGAATCGGAACCATTAAAAGTAATTTGGCGGAATTACTGATTCTCTGCATCATTTCAAATTTAATATATGTTTGTGTGCTTGTGTAGTATTTAAAGCAATAACAGATCCTATCTATACCTACAGATCCCGTCAGTGCCCAAGTGTATGCATTTTGGAGACCTCGTGCACCAACAGGTTTTGCCGTACTCGGTGACTATCTGACTCCAATGTTAGTAAAACTTTAATTCTCCATTTTTGTCCTTAAACATGGCAAGTAGTCTAAAAAATTTATATCCCTTCTCTCACAGAGATAAACCACCGACAAAAGGTGTAATTGCTGTTAATACCAGCTTAATACGAGTTAAGAGACCAACATCATTCACTCTGGTGTGGCCCCGTTCCTCTTCGGATGATGTGCTTGGGGCTGAAGGTGTAGGTACTAATGAGTTGACTGGAGATAAAGGTATCTCTGAGAGAGACAGTATGTGCTCGATTTGGTTTCCTGAAGCCCCGAAAGGTTATGTGGCTTTGGGTTGTGTGGCTTCTCCAGGAATGACACAGCCTCCAGTTTCCTCAGTGTTTTGCATCTTGGCATCCTTAGTTTCTCCATGTGGCCTGAGAGATTGCATCAGTATTCAGTCAAGCTCTCAGTATGCAAATTTTTTTTAGTTGTTTATATGCGTCCTTCATTATCAGACTTCTTAAGACGAGTATAAATTTATAACTGAATGTGCTTACCTTTAACTCACCTTTTATTCTGTTGTTTGTTCTCCTTTGGAAGTTGTCTGAAGCTGATGTCTACCAGTGTTTTTGCGAGTGTTTGAGAATGGTTGTTCATAATTTTTGTTTGCTGAATTGAATTTTTATATATAGATGCCCTAATCTGGCATTCTGGCGGGTGGACAATGCTGTTGGAACATTCCTTCCTGCTGATCCTTCAACTCTGAGTTTGGCTCAAAAAGCATATGAGTTGCGGCAGTTGTACGGGTTTTGCGAAATATCTCCTGATAAACTGAAGGGTTCAGAGAACCAAGCTTCTGCTACTGTTGGCGACGAAACTATCCAGTCGGGGAGGTCATCAATTGTCAATTCCAGACGGAGGTTTGAAGCTGTAGCTACCTTTCGGTTAGTATGGTGGAATCAAGGTTCTGGATCAAGAAAGAGGTTATCTATCTGGCGTCCTGTAGTCCCTGAAGGAATTGTGTATTTCGGTGATATTGCGGTACAAGGGTAAGAAGCTCATCGTACTATTGGTTGTTTTAAATATCACTGTTGTGTATCACAGTCATAAACCAGCTATACTTATATTTTGCCTTGGTTTTCAGTTACGAACCTCCGAATACTTGCATTGTTCTTCAAGACTCAGAAGAATATGATCTGTATAAAGCCCCTTTGGATTTTCAACTTGTTGGACATATAAAAAAACAGAGAAAAACAGATAGCATATCTTTCTGGATGCCTCAGGCTCCACCAGGTTTTGTTACATTAGGATGTGTTGCTTGCAAAGGTGCGCCCAAACAATCTGATTTCATCTCCTTAAGATGCATTCGTACTGATATGGTCTCAATGGATCAATTCTTCGATGAAAGTATATGGGACACATCTGACATCAAGTTCACAAGAGAACCGTTTAGCATATGGACGGTTGGCAATGAATTGGGAACCTTCCTTGTCTGGAATGATTTCAAAAGACCCCCTAAAAGATTTGCTTTGAAGCTCATTGGTCCAGACATATCAAGTGATTCAGATGACACTGTAATTGACGCAGAAATAAGTGCCTTCTCTGCTGCTCTTTTTGATGACTATGGTGGCTTGGTAATTCTTTTGTCTTCTTTAGTAACTGAATTATTATGAGAAGTCCTTTTGTTTTGTTTTCCCATTTTTTTTTTCAATTACTATAAGTCAATCTAAGCATGCTGCTTTCACATAATTTGTAGGATGTGTGGTTCTTTGTTACATATTTGTACTGATTTTTGTGTGTGCTCAGAATGTAAACGAGAGCTGGCAATGCAATTACAATGCAATTATCTGGCAAGGAGGAGATGAACTCTATAAATATTTATTTCAAGGAGATGAAACAATTTGAACTAGATGAATTCAATTTTATTAGGATGCATGGCTGATCTCTGCATCATTTCACATGTTAATCTTTTGCATATAGCTTACCTCCATGTTACTAGATGTGTTGAATGGTTTATTGAGAGTTCATGATATTTATCCCAAGTTTCGAGGTAACCCAGTGTGGAGAAATGTGGTTCGGAATTTCCCGTAAGGCAACACACACACACACACACACACACACACACACACACACACACACACACACACACACACACACACACACACGTATATATAAGAATCAATACTCTTAATTTTCTGAATATGCTTGTTGCGCCAAATATTGAATCCAGCTGCCTTCGGCTGTGTACTGTTCAATGATTCTTTCTCCCGGATTCAATCTGGAGTGGAAAAGTGAACATTATGTAGCTGATGTATTTTTTTTTGTTTCTTCCTATAGTGTTTGTCATCCTTGTGTACGTTCTTACGTGCTCTCTTAACTGCTTGTGTAAGATTTTATTTCTTTTACAGGGCATATTTATCTAACTACCAATTTCCTCTCTGCAGATAGTCCCACTGTGTAATGTATCTTTGAGTGGCATAGGGTTCAGCTTACGTGGAAGACCTGATTTCTTGAATTCCAATGTGACCTTTTCCATATCTGCAAGGTCGTACAATGATAAGTATGATTCATGGGAGCCTCTAATTGAACCAGTTGAAGGATCATTGAGGTAATGTGTTTTGCAGTTAAATCCTTCTAATTCCTTTCTTACTAGGTGACTGAATTAAGAATGGAATTACAGTCATCATACCAAAGAATAAAAGTTCATCCACGGCTTCTGTATTATATAGTGGATATCAGATGTTTTGCTTTTCTTCTTATGCCAAGTTATTATTATCTGTGGTTATGGACCTATTTCTCTAGATGGTGGAGACACCTTCCTCATGCTGGTGATCTGTACTTTCTGGTTGTTCCACAGTCACTCTTGCATACATTTAATTGGGGCTCCACACGTACACATGGTTCCCCCATATGATATCAATCAAGGCAGAGACTTTGATACAATGGACTTCTCTGATAACCACTTAACATTTATTTATCTTTTGTCATAATGTTTTTATAACCAAGTTTCTAGAATTTCCTCTTGAACCCACTTATGAATGCTTCTTTTCTTTTTTTCTTTTCTTTCTGAGACACTACAAGTAGTTGTTGTAGAGACTGATCTAGTGGACTGAACACAATATGGAGTTAAATGGAACCCTATCATCAATATTTAGGAACTTAAGGCTATTAGATCCTATTGGGGCGATGTATATAAGACAACTTGGGGGTGCGAGTTGAGTAGTCACAAATAGAGGTAGATCAGGTATTTGTGTTATCACATATCCGTCATTCTTTATTAATATCTAGATCTTTGTTCAAAGCCCACAATCAATTCTGAAACAAAATTACTGTCACACTGAACAAGCTCCTGTGAGCAAAGTTTATTCTTATAGAAGAATTCTTATCTTATACTCAATAAGCGGCATTCTTTTGTGCTTTGTGTTGTTGCATCGACCCTCCTATTTCTCACCGAAAACATTTTCCATGATAAAGGACTGGCGATGAGTAAAAGCACAAAATAAAAAGTTTGTTACTCTTTGATGCAGCAAAATAGGTTGTGGTTGGTCTCATGACACCACCACACACAAATATGCATTCCCTAGCTTATTTGCTATGTTCACTATGATTAGTTGCATACGTACTTTTGTTTTGATCATTTTAATAAATGTTTATTGTGTATCTTTTGTGTATAGGTACCAAAATAATCCTAATACTCCTGGTGTAGCTTCTGAGCTACGAATTATTTCTACACGAGATCTGAATTTCAATGTGTCCGTTTCCAATGCCAATATGATTTTACAAGCCTATGCAAGCTGGAACACTCTCAGCCACATCCAGGAAACATACGGGGTTTGCTCTTATCTCTTGTTTTAGACAAACTTATGATGTTTGCATGGTTGTTATTTTTGCTGATAGGACTTGCATTAATTGTTAGAGTAACGGCCATTCTGCATGTGACAGAGATATATTTATCATGAAAATGTTCCCCCGTAAACTAGAGTTTTAATTTTGTCGACAGGAATTAAATTCTCAGACTAGTGATGGCAGCTCTACGGTTGCTGTTCATCAAAAAAGAAATGAATACATTGTTCCCCAGAATAAACTCGGGAAAGACATTTTCATCAAAGCTTCTGAAGTCAGAGGACTTCCTGACATAATCAAAATGCCAGCAGGAGACCAAAAGGCACTGAAAGTTCTGCTTCCGAAGAATATGCTGGATTCTCATTTGAGAAGGAGTCTTCTTAAGAAACAGCGCCTGATGGTAACCATTATTGTGGCCGAAGCAGAGGTGTGTTCTTTCAAAGGCCCTTTTCTATTTCTTCAAGCAACTTCTCTTGTTATTGTCGCGACTCTTCCAATATATTTACCCCCTCTAACTATTCTGGTTCTGAAACCTAATTTTCAATTGGCGTCAACTTTGGGTCGTCTTGCAAGATGGATAAAACTCAATTTATGAGTTTCTTTGCTCGTCTTGCAGCAGTAGAATTGACATGTTGGTTATATGACTTATTGAAGTAAAGCATTTCTAATTACCTCATAATATAAATAAAGAGGTTACTTAATATGATATTAGATCTCGGCCACCTATTGATAGAAATATTTGTTGTAGATACCAAGGAAGGTGTTTGGCTTGAAATTTTTTACCAACAAGAATATATGAACAAGTATATACACCCCCCTATGTTCATCTTCCTAATTCGGATGAGGTGGTCATTCAACATTGCAGCTTGTACTGAATTATGGTGCGAGTCTATTTTTGTATAACCAGGATCCTTTTTTTCATTTCTCTTAATTAACATCTGATCCCATCCTTCAGTCATTTCTCTATAAAACATTGTAGTTTTTTGCCAAAATTAGCTGCAGTGCTTTTCTTGGGTTGCTTCAATATGATGGCATGTTAGGTATTTAAACCTTCTATGGCTGTGTTGCCACTTGGTATGTCTTCTTTTGCAAGTCTATCTAATGCAACTTCCAGAAAATAAGTAGGAAACAAGTAGATTGTCTGTCCACTTGTAACACACTGGCCAAAAAAGGCATTTCCATAATACAAAATAAATGTGCTAACAATTGTTTACGATGATCATTGAAGAAGCAGGAAGTTTGAAGAACTTGCAAGTCATAGATGAATAGTGTAGAAGTTTGCCATCTGTCGCTCTTGTATTGTGGTCAGTTCCATGCATCATAAACTAGGATTGTCCATAGCAAATAAATTGGTTTTTTTGTTATTGGACAACTCCCGAATGAATGGAACAGTAAAAATTAATGATGTCCAGAACCTGACTTGAGATTAAAATAAATAGAAGGTCGCTGATAGAAAATTAAATGAAGAATGAAGAAAACCGGGGAAAGGTGAGAGTTTTTTAGATGCTACTACTCGGCCCCCGTGTTTGGAGCCTTTCCGTTTGGCACCACTATTATTTTGTTATCCAGAATAATTATCTATTAATGAAAGTACAAAATTAGAAGTTCGTGAAAACCCCTGGTACAGCCGCACTATATATCCAATGTGAAACTATTGCAATAATATCAGAACCATTAGCATCATGAGTTCTTTTCAAAGCTTTTCGTGAAACTATTTTCCATTATCATCTTGGTTGATTCTCATCCTGCATCTATGTCCTCTGCTTGAATATGCAGCTTCTGAAGCTTGAGGGGTTATCCTCCCATGAGTACAGTGTTGCAGTCCGTGTTTATGAAGATGAGAGTCAACCTGGTCAAGCACATCTAAACCAACAAAATGCACGAACTTTCGGAACTGGATCAGATGGCTGTGAATCTTCAGAAGTTGAATATGTGAAATGGAATGAAGTATTTTTCTTCAGAGTTGATTCAGTGGTTTGTACCTACATAATCTTCTTAAATTGTTACATTATGCATACATATATATATATATATATATATATATATATATATATATATATATATATATATATATATATATATATATATATATATATATATATATCTACTATATATATATATATATATCATCTCTATATATCTCTATATATATATATATATATATATATATATATATATATATATATATAACTCTTATAAATATAGGATTTACTTTCTTAGTTGTTCTGGATCTACTGCGATATATGTAATGTATATTCACATCCATTTATGTGCTTATATATATGAAAAAAATTCTAGAATTGCGGTTTACTCTTCTTTTCCCTTTTAAATGGCGTAGATAGCTTCCATAACATTATATTTGATTGGTTTTTGCCTGATCACTGAATTTGACATTATCTTTTTGTCAGTGTTGTGTTCAGCTACATTTGCCCTTTATTAAGTGCAGGTCTTATTCTTTTGCATATTTACCTTTTAGTACAATCTCATTAAATCTGTTTGGTGGAGATCAGCAGTTCTCTAGTATGAATCTTTGCACTACATATATCTTGAAGACTAACAAATACTTTCTGTCATGTTAGTAATAATCCAAATAAAGTGGATCCATATGCCAGAAACCTAGATATAGAGATCAAATTCTTTGGCGAAAATTAAAGGAATAGGATATAACTAGTTGCACTATAGATGAATTATCAAGTAAATGACAACATGAAGACAAATTTTCCTGCTGCTTGTATCGTTCTTTAGATGCATAGCATCTGGCCTAGATTGTTGTGCATAGTTTTCCTTTTCTTAATATTTTGTAAGGTTATTATTTCGCAGTCTATCCGAGTATCCATCAACTTATGTCACAATCAACACCCAGCTTACTTCCGTCAGTTTTTACTTTTACAGGATCGCTGCATGGTGGAATTTACTGTACGTGAGACTGGGAGAGGTAAGATTATACTCTCTGTGTGCCTGGCATTTTAACCGTTAAGTCTTTTTTGGAACTATTAACATGTCTTTATGTGCTCTCTCTCTTGCATCAGCCATCATTTTTAAACTAGAATTGTTATTAATTTCTTGTGCGCAGATTATTCTGACTTTTTTGAATTTGCAGTTTAATTTATTTATAGAATTCTGTTTTTTAAATGTGAATAATGAGTAGAACTTGATTGAGAATGACGTTCTCCCAAACTTGAGTGTCTTTCAGCATGGTGCAGAGGCTGATTAATTATGATTTTAAATATGAAATTCTAAGCGAAAACATTATCCAGCAAAAATGTAAGGGTGGTTTGGCACTGAAGAATGGTTTGAGGGTTGGAGGATATTACCTTACTCAGTAGGACCTGACAGGGGAGAGGAAGGACCAATTGATCCTTCCCAAACAAATATTTAATTGGTTTAATTTTGGAGGAGTTGGAGGATGTGTTGGACTTGATGGCAAAAAACCATAGTAACGCACCACAGCTGACGCTCTATTAGCCATCTTTCTTGGACAAATTTGTCAACTCTTCTCCAAATCAAGAATTTGGGAAGTGCTTCACGATTATACGTTTTTCCTTTACCTAAACAAGAGAAACCTCAAACCGGAATGGGGGAGCATTAAGAAGTGTTAAAACTTCACAGCACATCCGGAATACCTATTAACCTGACGAATGATGCATGTCTGGGTTTTCTACTTTTTTTTCCCTTTCTTTTCTGGTTGAGATTTCAGTACAAGTTAGAACGGAAGTCCCAATATAACATTTTTCACACGCCTATTTATGTTCGTCTCACATGCTTCATGCGCAGTGACTTTCTTTTACCTTTGCAGGTGAGCCAGTTAGCTACTATTCTTCTTCTTTGAAACAGCTGACTAGGTCTGAAGGCACCTCTGCTTCCCTTAACGAGTTTATTTGGCTAGACTTATCCACTGGAGAACCTGCGGTGACTCTCTCTCTCTTGCACACTTACCCAGAAAAATTCCCTTCCACTTCTGTCTATTTTAGTTTTTAAGAGCAGAAACAATGTTTCAACTCTAAAAAACTTAAATGAACCATATTTCGTTTTAACTTCTCGACTTTATTACTTTTTTATGCAGTTGGGTGTCAGCAGAAAATTTGGTAGAATCAGATGTGCAGTGATTTTGCCGCCTAGATCTCCAACTGAAAACTTTGAAAAATCTTTCGATGAATACAGAAAATCTGGTTTGATTCAGATTAGCCCGACCAGAGAGGGACCATGGACACCATTGAGATTGAACTATGGTTCACCTGTTGCATGTTGGCGATTGGGCTATGATATAGTCGCAAGTGAAGTGAGCATACACGACGGAAACAAATATGTCAACATCAGATCTCTGGTATCAGTTCGTAACAACGTTGACTTTGCTCTAGATATATGCCTCAAGCTCAGAACTGCAGATGGAGATCCTATGTCAATAGCTGGTGAGAAAAACGAGTCCCGGTATGACGGAAGTGAATTCGCAACAGATGAGCTATTTGAATCTCAGAAATACAACGCCACTGTTGGTTGGTTACCGTGTACTAAAGTTGAGGAGGTAATTAGCAAAAAACTTGTATTCATACTGTGAAAACTGAAAACATAAGAGAAACATAATTTGTATCTCCTTTTCAAATCCACTTGTTTCTTTAGTCGATGAACCATATGAAAGAAATTTTGCCTTCCTGTAAATATCATGCTCTATTATATTGATGGTAGTTGTGCTGGAGATAATAATTGGCTTTTGAAGAGCTGATCCCTATTAATATTTTCCTGCGTGAGATCAGAGAGGTGTATGGCATTCAAAATTGTGAACTGAGGGTATTGTTCAGTTTGTACATTGTTATTTTTGTTGACAATATTTGCTAATGTGATGGTTTGTGTTCGCTTGCTGGAAATTACTTTCTTCCAGCGTATATAAAGCATATCCGTGTGGTTCTCTATTATGTCATTTACTTTCCTATATTTATTGATATCAATAATTGATTGATGGTTTACAAAATCTGTTGTGTACAGGAATTATTTGGATTCGGATTGTCGACGGGCTGGGAATGGGTTGATGAGTGGCATGTTGACAATTCATCTGTCAATACAGTTGATGGATGGGTTTATGCCCCAGATTTTGAAAGTTTAAAGTGGCCAGAATCTTATAATGCATTAGAATATGTTAACTATGCCAAGCAAAGGAGGTGGATTAGGAACAGGAAACGGTTGGCTGAGAATTCCGAATCGCAGATAGTTATTGGTCCCTTAAAACCTGGTGAAACTATATCTCTTCCTGTGCGCTGCGTAGCTCAGTCTGCCTTATATTTCTTGCATATAAAACCTTCAAATATAGAAGTTGATAATCAGTATTCATGGAGTTCTGTAATGGATTTGCCTGCTCAGTCACAGGATGGGGAGAGGTCAAAAGAAAATTCTGAAATTTGTGTTTCAGCTCTCACGGAATTTGAGAAACTCTTATATTGCTCTGAAATTAGTGGAAGCTCATCAAGTACTTCACGCGGTATGTGGTTTTGTGTGAGCACACAAGCAACTGAAATTGCGAAGGACATTCATTTTGATCCAGTACAGGATTGGACAATTATGGTCAAATCTCCTGTATCAATTTCCAATGATCTTCCTTTTATGGCTGAAATTTCTCTTCTTGAGATGCAAGGCAGTGGCCATTTTCATTCTTGCTATAGAGGGTTATCTGGTCCTGGGGAGTGTGTCAAGGTGTACAATGCTGACATAAGAACTCCATTGTATTTATCCTTGCTTCCCCAAAGAGGATGGTTGCCACTACATGTCAGTGGGAGAATTTCCATGTCTTTCTTTCTCAAACAATTTTTTTTCTTCAGTAAGACTCTTTTTTAATATGTACCTTTAATATTTTGTTCTAGGAGGCTGTGGTTCTCGCCGATGCTAGCAATACACCTTCAAAGACAATAAGCTTAAGAAGTGCAGTTTCTGGAAGGTATGACGATGTAGTAATGGAGATGCTTTTCTTTCACTGGGAATAAGGCTTCGTTTGTTTGTATTTTTAACCCTTTAACAATTTTGTGTGCAGGATTGTTCAGATCATTCTAGAGCAAAACCATAACAGTGGAAGGCCTCTACAACCAAAGATCATCAAAATTTATTCACCATATTGGCTCGGAATTGCAAGATGTCCTCCACTTAGTTTCAGGCTTGTCGATGTTAGTGGTAGAAAGTTGAAGAAGAATCCACTGTCTTTTCATTCCAAAAAGATCAAAGAAGTCATCCTCGAAGAGATTACTGACGAGGAGATACTTGAAGGTTATACAATTGCATCTGCATTGAATTTCAACTCTCTGGGTCTCTCTGCATCTATATGTGAATCTGGAGGAGAGCAGTTTGGCCCTGTTAAAGATCTTTCTCCACTTGGGGACATGGTAAATTTCATTACATTTTGTATCTTATCGGATGGTAGGGTTTATGCTCATCTTGATTTTGTGCCTTTAGGATGGATCCATGGATCTTTTTGCTTATAATGCTGATGGCAATTGTATGCAACTCTTTGTATCTTCAAAACCTTGCCCCTATCAATCTGTCCCGACAAAGGTAATTATACCATTGGATAAAGTGCAGGTATGTTAACTTCGCGGTTACTTATGCTTCCCTTTTGTCAGGTAATTTCTATTCGACCATTTATGACATTTACAAATAGAGTTGGCCAAGATATATTACTGAAGTTCAGCACTGAAGACGAACCTAAGACTTTGCGGGTGTCTGATACAAGAGTCTCTTTTGTGCATCGTAAAACAGATGGACCTAATGAAATTCAGGTGAGCCAAACACCCTCTTAGTTGTAAGAGTCTGAATAAAAGATAGGGTTGTTTAAATATAAAGCATTGGTGAATAATCGGAAGGAAGATTTGGTCATAAGATTCTGAATAGACCTCTTTCATAATTTCATTTCGGTTATGCATGCACCCTTTACATTAGAAGTATGTTACTCTAATAACACTTTTTGGCCGTTATATAGGTAAGGATGTATGATACAGATTGGTCATTTCCTATTCAAATTTTGAAAGAGGACACCATCACGCTTGCTTTAAAGAAAAATGATGGTACACGGAGGTTCTTAAGAACAGAAATACGAGGTTATGAGGAGGGTTCTCGGTTTATAGTTGTATTCCGCCTAGGATCAACTAATGGTCCTATTAGGTACCTTTCATGAATCTTCTACCTCTGCTTTCTTAACTACTTCCACTGCATTTGTAATCTGGTAATAAGCATTTCAGTGGGCAAGAAAAAGCAAAACTTTCATATTTTTGTAGTGGTGTTTTTGTATTGCCTCTACTGCTTCCCCCGAGTATTGGGTTTAAAATGTCACAGATCCTTCGGTCATAAGGAGTGAACAAAACTTGTAGAAAGAAAAAGAAAAGGTCAAGAGCTGCCTTTATTTCCCCCAGTGGATTATTAATAGTGAAATGGAAGATAACATGTCCCTGTTGCTAATTATCAATCTGTTGGCGACAGAAATATTTCCTTGGACAACTCAATTATTTGAGTTAATCCACTAACCAGACACATTAACTATTTGGACAAATTTGCCAAGCTTCATTCCCATGTTACTTTTTCGATTTGTCTCCCTGTATTAGCAGTTCCCCAAACACCCCTGAAACAATCATTGGGACCTGTAGAGTACCTTCTCTGTTCAGCACAATGAATCTATATGTTTCTGTTTCCAGGCTTGCGGCAAATATGGCTTAGTCTTCCCTTTATGGGGTTCTCTTAACAGTTATCCTCATATCATTATGTGTTTGACATGTTTATTTACTTTCAGCTATTTAATAAAGAAATAGATTGTTGGAATTTCCATCCAGGTGGCAATAGAGGATTAGACTAGGATCAAATAAAATCAGGAGGCATTACAAAAAATACTGCAATATTTAGCTGTTTCTGAGATACTGAAATGCTTTTAGTCTTCTAGACACTTCTGATTAGCCATGAATCTTGTTGAACAGGATTGAGAATAGAACAAGAGACAGTGCAATAAGATTCCGGCAAATTGCGTTTGGTGATGATGCTTGGATTCAGTTACCACCACTTTCAACGACAAACTTTTCATGGGAGGATCCATATGGTCAAACAGTGATAGATATTGAAGTTGATAGTGACAATAATGCTGGGGTCTACAAATTTGACTTGAATAAAGCTGGGCTTTTTTCTATTGATGACAGCTCCGGTTTGTTTCTCCATATTGTAAATATTGGTGATATTAAGGTTGTTAGGCTTGTTAACATAGATCCACTGCTTTCAAGATCGAAAGAAGGAAGTGGGTCTATACTGCTGGGGGGCTGTTGGGGAAATTCTCCTATACAGTCTAAGATGCCAGAGCAAGGATCTCCATTAGAACTTATATTAGAGTTGGGCGTCGTTGGCATTTCAATTGTGGACCATAAACCAAGAGAACTGGCCTACTTGTACATGGAGAAATTCTTCATATCCTATTCTACTGGCTATGATGGTGGAACAACAAGCAGGTTTCATATCTCCTTATATTTGGTTTTGTGCATATCTCCTTACATTTTGTTTTGTTAGCTATAACATTATCGTATCCTAACAGGTGGTGTCCTCTGAAGGACTTCACCGGAATAATTGTTGCGTCCCTTGATAGCACATTTACATCTTAATCAATACTATTACTTTTTGTTCTATGGGTTTTTCATCTTCAAAAGCCCCACAACTTGGCGGTGTGGGACAAATGCAACTACTAAAAGTTCATATTCTTTTTCTTAATTTTTTTTTTTTGTTTGTTTGTGTTCTCAGCAAGTTATTTAATCATTCCTCGCTTATATCCATTGTTGTTTTGAACTCTGGTAATTTATTTTCTGTCTAGAGCATGCTAATCTGCTTGTGAAGTCATGTTCCATTCCTTAGGCAGACTTCAACACTTTTTTCTCAGTTGCTAGCAGCCGATTTTTCTGATCCAATTGTGCATATGAGAAGTAATTTAATTGCACGCTTTCTTGACTGGTTATGTATTACTTTTTTTTCCTTTGCCAGGTTCAAGCTAATACTGGGTTACATGCAGCTAGATAACCAACTTCCTTTGACAGTGATGCCTGTACTTCTGGCACCAGAACAAACTCCTGATGTGCATCATCCAGTTTTCAAGATGACTATAACCGTACGCAATGAAAACCTTGATGGTCTCCAGATCTACCCATATGTTTATATACGGGTAACGTTCTCAAGATCATTCATTCAGTTTCAGGATTGAGCTCAAGTTATTAGACTATGGTATATTATGATTTCATACAAGTTATTCCTAATTCTGTAAGTACCTGACAGGTGATTGATAAAAGTTGGAGGCTTAATATCCACGAGCCAATCATCTGGGCTTTGGTAGATTTCTTCAACAATCTACAATTAGATCGCATTCCTCAAAATTCTAGTGTCACTCAAGTTGATCCCGAGCTACGTGTAGAGTAAGTATCGTTTGATTAACACAAATTCTTCAATTCTTCATCTAGAATTTCGGTCGTCAGATCCTCATGCTTGCTAGAATCTTTATGTGTTTTTTACTTCTGTTTGCTTTAGTACCAATGTTTCTTTTGTCAATGTTAATTTAAAACACTGCATTGGTGCACAAGGAAGCATTGAGGCCCGACGGATGTTTACTTATAATATTATGTGTTTATACTGGGTTCGGGCACAAGGAAGCATTTTCCTGAGGCATTCGAATTTTGAAGTTATGTAGCAGACTACATACTGACTTGAGCTAGCATCATAAAAACTAATGTGATGATTCTGTTTGCTAGTTCGTCTGACTCTAAGTCGATGAACTTATGTTCTAAGTATCCTAAGTTTTGGGCATCTATCTGCGTTCTCTAGTATTTCTGAAAAATTATCATCTTCGTTCTAAATTTGAATGAAATTGTTTCTATTCATACCATCCTCTATCATTTTGCAGGATTACGCTACATTAATGTTTCTAGTACTTTTATCTTTTGTTTTCTGTTTGTGACTTTCTTTTTCCTATTTTTTAATGTATTTGGAAGATTATCAATATTTGGCATCATATGTGATAGCTGTATAGATTAGATAACCCCTCTAGTATTGTGAAGGGTACCATGCTTCATGCTTGTATTAGCATTAAACACTATGTTAGCCTGTCATCAGCAGATTTTTGCTACGCAGATGACTATGATTTTAGAATAAATGTATAATCAAATACCATCCTTGTCGTTTCAGCTTGATCGACATATCTGAGGTCAGGTTGAAGGTTTCTTTGGAGACTGCACCAGATCAAAGACCACATGGGCTTCTGGGTGTATGGGGTCCCGTTCTTTCAGCTGTTGGGAACGCATTTAAAATTCAGGTTTGATGTTTCTGTTTGCATTATGGATGAAGTAGCTATTATAGCTCTAGGTCAAAATTTTCCTATCGTTAAGTGTGACTATACTTGTTTTCTTGGTTTTTTATTCTTTTGGACTTCCAATTGGAAAACAAAACGATCTTGATATTATCAAACAGCAAAAGAATATGTTTACTCGATTCTAGCTTCATGCTCGGGTAATTCATATTTATTTGCAGTTATAGACTAAATTATGTTGTTGTGCTTTAGGTTTTGCATTGATAACCTTTGACTTGGACACAATTTACTTGTTTGTTGTCTCGTCTCTTATGCTTATATTGGAAGTTTAAGCAGAAAAAAGATGATTTATTTTTTTGGATGTCAGGAATTTTTGGATAATCTGAGAAAATGAATGCAGGTAATTCAATTAATACAGATCAAAGATTGTAAGCCTATAAAAACAGCTCTAGGAAAGAGTTAACTTCAGAGTAAATATGTTACAAATTTTCAGCTGAAGACTATTTCCTTGTGATACACTTCAGTAAACACCTATATTATTTTTCACAATATATCTGGTAACATATTTTAACAGAGTACTCTATAAAAAAAAATTATTTTGAATTTTCTAGGTGTATCATATGCTAATGTAATACATGCATTAACAAACTTCATGTTAATGTAAAATGTTGTAATAAATAATCAATATTAAAAAGTTATGTAAAAAATAAAGGTGCCTCTGAGGCTGTAGCAAGATAAAAATGGTATAAATCCTGAATTCCTCCATGGAAATTAGTTTTTTTATCTGGATTTTTAATATGACTTGGGAAAGCGTGTTTCTTATGTTTATACCGAGATTCTGAATCATGTTAACAAGCTGTCGGAAATTTTCAGTTCATGTAGGTGTTGACTTCCTCCCTTTTAGTTGTCTATTTTATTGGTTATGTTCTAGTGTTACTTATTTCTGTAGTTCATACTAAGACATCCGTTGGCACCTGTTCGCTTTTGAAGTCATTTCTTTGTTAGAAGAAACAAAAAAAAATGAATTAGTGGAACATGATTAGGAACTACTTTTGCAATCAGAATATGTGAGATGTTAATAGTAATGTCTGTATGTCAGGTTCATCTTCGGAAAGTAACACACAAAGACAGATTTCTGCGGAAGAGTTCTGTGATTTCTGTCATTGGGAACCGCATATGGAGAGATCTGATTCATAATCCATTACATTTAATTTTTTCGGTTGATGTACTTGGCATGACAAGCTCCACCTTGGCTTCTCTTAGCAAAGGTTTTGCAGAGCTCTCAACTGATGGTCAATTTCTGCAGCTACGTTCGAAGCAGGTAACATTTTCTCAGTATTTCCTCAATCATAGGACATGAAGTTCTAACTGACTTTGAGCAATGGACATAGGTGTGGTCAAGAAGGATTACCGGTGTTGGTGATGGGATTGTACAAGGAACCGAAGCTCTTGCTCAAGGTTTTGCTTTCGGAGTGTCAGGGGTTGTGAGGAAACCTATGGAGAGTGCTAGACAAAATGGTCTACTGGGCCTTGCTCATGGGCTGGGACAAGCTTTCTTGGGTTTTTTTGTACAGCCAATGAGTGGAGCCTTAGATTTTTTCTCTTTGACTGTTGATGGAATTGGTGCAAGTTGCTCCAGGTGCTTAGAAATTCTCAATAACAAGAGAAATTTCCAACGAGTACGAAATCCACGGGCATTTCATGCTGACAACGTACTAAGAGAGTACTCTGAGAGGGAGGCACTCGGTCAGGTATCAGTAGTTTCATTGAACTCATAATATTCAAATGCATGCTCATAGTTTGATACTTTTGATTGCTTTTGGCGTGTATGTATACCAGAAGCACTTCTGATGCGTTAAGATGCATGTATCTTACAGATACACTACAAACAACGAAAATGAAATTTCTCTAATTTATGTGATTTAAGTCGGTCTCTTGTATTGAGTGGCAAGTATGACATAGAACTATGAAGTGAATTTCCATTAAGAAATAGTTGACAGTAAGCCTGATAATTTTGAGATCTCAGCTTAGCGTAGTAGAAAGCATTAAACTGACTGTTCTTTTCTTTTAATATAAAATCGGGTCATTCTGACCTGTTATATTTTGTTTCTAGATGATACTTTACCTTGCGGAAGCTTTACCTTGCGGAAGCAAGTCGGAGTTTTGGATGTACCGAAATTTTCAAAGAGCCATCAAAATATGCCTGGTCAGATTGCTATGAAGAGCATTTTGTGGTACCATATCAACGGATTGTTTTAGTGACTAATAGGAGGGTCATGCTGCTGCAGGTAGTCACTGGATACGTTTTTTCTGTTCTTAGTTTTAACTTATCTTTCGTTTTGCATGCAATAATCATTCTTATTTTGATATTGAACCCCATTGTTTTTGTATGGAAGTGTTTGGTCCCTGATAGGATGGACAGAAGGCCCTGCAAGATAATGTGGGATGTGCCATGGGCAGATGTTATGTCACTTGAATTGGCCAAAGCTGGTTTACCCATGCCTTCTCATTTAATCATCCACCTGAAAACCTTTAAGAGGGGTGAGAGCTTTGTTCGGGTGATCAAGTGTAATACAGAAAATTTGTTAGATGAAATTGAGCCGCAAGCAGTTAGAGTATGCTCAGTGGTGTATAAGATGTGGAAGGCACACCAGAACGATAATAAACAGGTCTTGAACTCACCATCAAGTTAATATTTTTATTTGGTGAAACAGTTATGTTATGTCATAATGTTTTATCATATCCATAGGTTCCTTCAAGCCAAAGGCATGTATCTTTTTCACGGAACAAAGTTGATGCAAGGGAATCTCATAAACTGCACAGAGCCATCATCACATCCACAGAAATTTCATCTTCAGGTTCTGTTTCCAACGAACGGAGATTTATCGAACATAGTGTCATTTTTTCTAAGATTTGGAGCAGTGAGCGAGAATCAAAAGGTCGATGTACCTTGTGTCGGAAGCAGGTCAGTTGTATCAACCTTAATTTTTGCCACAATTATTAGCTATTATTTGATACCCAAAATATCAGTTAGATTCTCAGACATTTTCTTTTCCAACATCTAGAGTTTGGACAGCGAAGAAATTTGTAGTATCTGGCGGCCGATTTGCCCTGATGGGTAAGTTCTGATGTCTTCTTGTTCAACAATCTAATATTGAATCAATCTTTCTTTGAATAAGAAATACGTACGGACATCTGCTGCCCTCTTTGATATCAGTCCCAAGATTTACATTGTCAATTGATTTTTTGATTAGCTTGATTGCCAATGAATGTAGAATGGAAAATTATCAGAAGCAGATGTTTTGCCAATTTTGGTCAACAAATTTTACTTGCATCTTTTGAGCATAATTTCTCATTGAACAATTTCTCGTCCTGAAATTTTTTTCAGTAAATACTAAATAGTACTAGTGTGATTCTTGACAGTAAGCTTTTCTTCCACCTTGCGGTAGTGTTATTAGTGTCATCTCCACTAATACAGTGTCTTTACTTATCAGGTATGTCTCAGTTGGGGATATAGCTCGTTCTGGCATCCATCCTCCCAATGTTGCTGCTATTTATCGTAAATCTGATAATTTGTTTGCCTTCCCAGTAGGCTACGACCTGGTAAAACATCCTTCACAAGTCAAAGTTGATTTAGATTTGAGCATTCTCGAGTTTCCACTGATAAAGAGTATACTGAAATTATTATGATATTTGTGCAGGTCTGGAGAAACTGCTTAGATGACTACAAAAGTCCTGTATCGATTTGGCATCCACGTGCTCCAGAGGGATTTGTCTCTCTTGGATTTATTGCTGTACCTGATTTTGCAGAGCCAGAACTCGAATCTGTGTACTGCATTTCTGAATCTGTTTGCGAAGAGACAACGTTCGAAGAGAAAAAGATTTGGTCGGCAGCTGAGTCGTATCCATGGGCGTGTCATATTTACCAAACACATAGTGATGCTCTTCACTTGGTTGCTTTGAGACATCCTCGTGAAGAGTCTGATTGGAAGCCTAAAAGGGTTCTTGATACCCTCCCACAACAATTATCCGATGCCCGATGATTTTGCCTTCTTATAATTTCTGAGGGTTCAAGTTGCTCTTACTGCCAAGCTTGAGGAGAGATCTATCACTTATTCAATCTACTTTTTGGAATGTGAGCGACGAACAATCATTACTTCATTGGTGATCTTTGTTGTGTTTTCAAATCTATTTTGATTGTGGATTTTATTCATTGAGATGCTTCATAAAAATGCACGGCGATGTACCCAAATAGTTTGTGCTGATTGAGTTGGGATCAAACCTTGTACATTTTGATTTTGATTTCCAGATCTGTTATGGATTTATCGATCTTTGATTTTGTTATGTTTTTTGATTGTTAATGCTTTTGATAATTTGGCCAGTTTAATTGATTGTAAATGGTAATGAAGTCGAGAGATGATTTCTTGTTGGATTTAGGAAATGCGTCGACTATATGCAATCGCATTTAGGGTAAGATTAAATTTAATTTTTCACCAAATGAATTATTAAAAGACTATTATACCCTTACTAAAATATAAAATCCACAATTACAAAAGGGACTTGCTATTTACGGTTTGAAAATTGCTATTTGCGGTTTATAGCAAAAAATATTTTCTCTCTCTAAAACCCCAAAAAAATCCAAAAACCCTCAAAAACGCGTAAAAGCCCAAGTTGGGCGTGCAAGCTGTATTTGGGCGCCCGAGTTGGTCGTCTAGTGCAAAAAAAAAAAAAACTTTTTAATTGAACGCCCAAGATGAGCGCCCAAGGCGTGTACGAACGGGCGTTCGTACACGCCTTGGCCGCCCATCTTGGGCGTTCCAACATGTTTTTGCCGAAAAAAAAAGGCCTACAAATCGATTTGTAGGGCCTTTTAACATGAAATTGTTTTCGTAATCGACCTACCCAATACATATTACACATAAAAGAGTCGAAATTACATCAAAAAATCGAAGCCCAACCCTTCTTCAAGCTTGATTTCGAATTTTCGATTTTTTTTTTTTTTTTGATATTTGCAGTTTGGGGGGTTTTAGGATTTTTTTGGAAAGTTTTGGAGTTTTAGAGAGATAAAGTGTTTTTTGGTTATAAACCGCAAATAGAAATATTAAAATATTTGAGATTCTAATGTAGCAAGGTTTATTGATGAAAAATATTATATTATCCAATAGCATTTAAATTAAGTATTTTCAACTTTCAAGATCGAAATCAATATCGCTAAATGAAGATATGAAGTATAAAATAGTAATAATTAAAAAACAGGGAGGTAGAGACAACTAAATACAGTTGGACATGCATATTTATTCTTGAGTTAGCCAATTCATATATGACATGTTAATCACGTGTAATAATATCCAATTTACTACTTATGGGCAATATAATCAGGGCATAATTCATAATTTTATTGTTACCTTGGTGTTATAATATCCTCATCATATTATTTTTTGTTATTGTTGAAAGTTTAAGTGAGATATGTTTTGTTACTGGAGTCATAATAGTTATCGATCTTCAATTTCACCAATAATTTTCTTACAAAGAAAAGATAATTCAGTAATTATAGTGACCATTGATGTTTTTGAAACTATATGTTTACCCTTGACCATATATTGAATAATTATAGTGATCTCTCCTGAGATCAGGTCTAATTACATACATATACACCGTAACTAGGGCTGAAAGTCGGAAGGATCGGATCGGAATTAGCCTTTTCGGAATATTTCCAAAAAATTTCGGAAGTACAAAATCAATTCCAATTCCAATTCCAAAATTTTCGGAATCTAAAAATTCATTCCAATTCCAAAAGGCCCGAAAATTTCGGAATTTCGGAAATTTTTCGGAAATGACATAAGTATTAAAATTTCGAAACTTCGCTGAAAATTTCATAATTTGCTAAAAACAAAAACATCCACGTCGATGAAAATAACTACTAAATTTCAATTCAAAAAATAAATAAAAATAAACGACATCATAATATCCAATAAAACTTCTAGCAAAAATTAAATAAACTCTTTAGCTTTGCACAAGAAATAATAAACGTAAAACTACATAAAATAAACTAGGGCTTTTTTAGGTGACATGGCCCATAAAGAATAAATACAACTAAATAATGTAAAATAAGTATAATATATATATATATATATATATATATATATATATATATATATATATATATATATATATATATATTACTCAAAGATGTATTTTTTGGAAAAAATCGGTTTTTTTCGGAAAAAAAATCGGATTTTTTTCGGAATTAATTTCGGAAATAATCGGATCGGAAATCGGAAATTCCAATTTTTTTTTATATAATTCCAATTCCAATCCAAAAAAATCGGAAAAAATCGGAAATCGGAATTTCGGAAATCGGAATGAAAAAACTTGTTCCAAAATCGGAACTTTTCGGATCGGAACCGGCGGAAATCGGAATTTCCGTTCCAACTTGCACCCCTAACCGTAACTCTCACATTTAAAAATAAATAAATATTATATTAAAGATGTTCCTCTTAAGTATAATTTTAATGATTTAATTACTAATAACAAAATAATATTTTTATAAGATATTTTTGATAGAGAAATTATATTAGAAAATTAATACTATTTAAAAATATATAACATAAATTAAATTAAATATTTTGCTTATTTCTATTTTGTACCCTCGGAATGTATCATTTATGCACTTGGCACCCCCGAAAAAAATCTCGAAAGGAATTAAATCATTCACATTGCATCCTATTTAAATTTTAAGGTTAATGAGAATAATTTCATCTTTTAGTAGCATTTTGAAATGATAATTTTCTTTGGAGTGATCAAATGTAATTCAAATAAAATAATTTTCATAATTAAATTGTGAAATTATTGAATAGGTATATCTTTAATTTTCTTGGAATTGGTAAAAATATATTGTTCTTTTTTTTTTTTTTGTATGAAAATATATTTTTTTTATGTAATTTTGTGAAAAAGTAGTTGAAGGGTGGAAAAATTAAAATTCTAAAACTCTGTACCAAGATGACAAATACTTTTGTATGGGTGTAATTATTGAGGATATTTTCATCTGTGCAGTAGTACTTATTTTATGTAATTGTTTATTTCATTCACTATTAAATTATTTTCTTGCTAAAATTACTTGAAAATTAAATTTTGTTATCTAAAATAAAATTTACAATATTTTTATCAAAGGCATATGAAAACAGAATTATTGAGAAATTTTATTAAAATATAAATTGGGGGTTGTTGTGTGAATGATTAAATCTTTTAAGGGTGCAATGTGCTATTAATTTTTTTGGGTGTGCAAAGTTCCAAAGTGTATATTTCGAGTCTGCAAAGTGTTTTTTTTAATTAATCCGTACCTTTAAATTTATGATTGTCATATGCTTGTTTAAATTTCATGTATTTTTTAACAATAGTAGTCATGTTTCAATACCATTTTATTTTACATAAAATATTATATTTGAAAATGTAAGATACATAAAACAATATCATATTATCATATTTGTGGAATATAAGTAATAAATATAATCTAATAATTAATTTAAAATTCGAAACTACTTTATGTATAAAACGAAAAACAAATTTCTACATATATGCTTATAGTATGTAATTGTAAAGCTCTTCGAATCTAGTTTAAGACGAAGTGATTTTATCTAAAAAATATTATGTAGAAAAAATTACAAAAAGAAGAAAATCAACGATCACAACTTGTGTAAATATTTGAGCATATGAAAAGACATTAGATATTTAAACAATATTATTTTACTATTAATTTGTTATTTCATTATGCTTATTACACAATTAACCATAACTAATTAATGGTGTAAGTTAGTTTACAAAGGCAATAATAGGAAGCACATAAATGTTAAGAAACAAAAAAACATTCATACTTTTATAGTTGGTAGGGATAAAGTGTTTTTTTGTTATAAACCGCAAATAACAATTTTCTAACTGTAAATAGCATTTCATTTACAAAATGACTGCACCTATTTGCAATCTCAAAATTTCAAAGGGCAAGACCTTACTTCATGCAAGACCAAAATATAGATAAATTTACTAAGAGCAAGACCGTAAATTACAAATATAACCTCAATATTAATTTTGATATTATTAATTCAAAAAATGCTTAATTGCTATTGAATGACAAAAAAAAAATTAAAAATGAAAAATAACCATTCTTCTTCACCAACAAAACCCAACCTCTTCTTCTTCACTATCATTCAACACATTTTTTCCAAAAAACTCATTCATATTCTTCAAAAACCTTCATCAAACAAATCCCCAAATCTTACTAAAACTTGAAAAGGCGGACATTATGGAAACTAAAAACATCAATAAGGATGATTCTAAGGTCGAAGAACACAATGGGATAAGAAATGTTGTACTTTATTTGGCTTTGTGATCGTTTTTTTCGTTTTTCGAAAATAATTTCGCGTACACAAAAATTTGACGTTTACAGGTCGATGTTTAGCAATAAAAACGACATTACAGCGTCGGTTTTTTTAGTTTCTGAAAAATCGACGCCAGTATGTCGTTTTTATTGCTAAAAATTGACACACTTATGTCGAATTTTGAACAAAATATCGACACACAAATATGGAAAAAAATGCAACACCTATTTATCGAATTTAGTGGAA